GGTACTCATCTGGCCCCCCTGGCCGAGGAGCTCCACGGCACTGGTCAGTTTAGGGTCTTGTATTGTGTATTTTCCCTGCTTTTGGCTCTTTGGGTGTGTTCCTTGCCCTCGCCAAATGGGGACTATGGAAATGGGAGGCAGTCAGCTCCAGGACTCTTGGGTTAATCCTGTCTCTGGTCTCTCCTCCAGGGACTCTGGGCAGCTCTACTAATTTTGTGATCCGATCCACGATCGTGGGCGGGAGGGTCAATTTACGCCTGCCCTTGCCGCTCTGTGCACTCCCTCACAGGCTATATCGGTGCCAATCTGTGGGAGGCCTTGTCCGCCAGTGTAAGCGTTCGCCAGCCCATGCGGTCACACACACGCTTGCCAACGCTCGCTGGTCACTCGGCGTAAGTGTGCGCACCTGCACTGGGTGTTTTGGGGGTGTCTGTGTGTGCTTTTCAGCTTTTGGCTTTTTGGGGGTGTGGCCTCTTCCCACGCAATGGAGACTACAGTGAGAAGAAGGAGTCGGGAATCCCCCGTTCCTCCTCCCGTTCTTTCCCCAATGCCTCTGTTTGCAGATTCTCCTCAGGGCCCTCCGGGCAGTTCCCTGACCCCTTCGGCCAAGGACCCACCCCCTGTGTGGACTGTGTTTCAATCTCAGGCAGTCTGGTTCCTGCACGCCCATCTTCTGCCTCTTTAGGGTCGTGCCTTTCCAGCCCACAATGGAGACTACTGAACGGGGAGGGAGTTGGAACTCCCCGGTTCCTCCTCCCGTTCTTTCCCCAACGCCTCTGTCTGCAGTCTCTCCTCAAGGCTCTCCCAGCCAGTCTGCACTCAGCCCCGCAGCTCACACGCGTACAAGCTGTGTGGGGAGCGCACGAAAGGCAGGTTAATTGATTCCCTTATGCCTGAGCGAGATGGTAGCTGCAGAGTGGGAAGTGCATTATCACGCGGGCTCCACCGGCTGCCGTGTCAGTTCTCTTCACAAAGTTTTCCTCACCAGTCTTTTCCCAGGCACCAGCCCACCCTGTTGCCACCTCTACCCAGAGATCAAGGAGGGTGGCTGCCACTGCAACTTTTACGTTTGCCCTTTAAATGTCTCTTTGCATCCTCAGCCACCTGTCTCTGGCAAAGAGCACCCCTAAGCTTTTTGGGGTTGCGTTTTGTCTGTATTTTCTTGGCTTTAGCTGCTATAGTTTAGGGGTTCCTGTTTATGATTCAGACCCCGTTCTTCTCAGGGGAAGCTAACTGGCCGTTTCAATGTCCCTCTGGTGCCAGTGCCTGTGGGCACCCAGCCCACCCTCTTGAGCCTCCACCGCACTTCTCACACGTTGGGATGTGTGAGAGTAGAATCCTCTGTCCGCGGCACCCAGGTTCCTCTCCCACTATCGGTCCACTGCTTTCCAGGTGATTACTCCATTATTTAGTTGCAATTCCAGTTTGGTTTTGGGAGGAGGTCAGCGTGACTCCCATTCACCCCTCCACCATCTTCTCTCTCCCACAATCTATAGTTTTGATGCAATTCCTATTACAATACCAATGGCATATTACACAGATCTAGAAAAAATATTTCAAAAATTTAAATGATACAAATAAGACCCCAAATAGCCTAGCAATCTTGAGAAAGAAGAACTAAGTAAGAGGGATCACAATATCTGATACAAAACTATACTACACAGCCACTGTAATCAAAACAGTCTGGCACTGGCATAAAAATAGACATATAGATCAATGGAACAGAATAGAGAGCTCAGAAATAAACCCATGTTTCTATAGTCAATTGATAATTTCCAAACGAGCAGGAACATACAGTGGAGTAAAGATAACCTCTTCAATAAATTGTGTTTGGAGATCTGGACAGGTACATGCAAAAAAATTAAAACTAGACCACCAACCTATACCATACACTAGAATAAACTCCAGGTGGATAAAAGACTTATATATAAGTTGTGACACTATAAACATCCTAGAGGAAAACACAGGCAGGAAAATTTCAGATATCTCAAGCAGCAATAGTTTTGCCAATATATCTCCCAGGACAAGGGAAATAAAGGAAAAAATAAACAAATGTGGTTATATCAAAATTAAAAGCTTCTGCATGGCTAAAGAACCGATCATCAAAATGAAAGGGAATTGACTATATGGGAGAACACATTTGCCAATGATACATTGGACAAGGGCTTCATTTCCAAAATATTTAAAGAACTCATACAATTCAACACCAGGAAGACAAATAATCCAATTAAAAATGATCAAAGAACCTGAATAGACGCTTCTCCAAGGAAATCATACAGAGGGCCCATAGGCATATGAAAAGGTGCTCAACATCACTAGCCATCAGAGAGATGCAAATTAAAACCACAATGAGATATCACTTCACACCTACAATGGCTGTCAGAAATCAACTAACAACAAGTGCTGCCAATGACGTGGAGAAAAGGGAACCCTAGTGCACTGTTGGTGGGAATGCAGACTGGTGCAGTCAGCATGGAAAACAATATGGAATTTCCTCAAAATACTAAAAATTAAACTGCCTTTTGATTCCACTGCTGGGAATATACCCTAAGAATCCCAAATCACCAATTCAAAAGAGTTTATGTAACCCTATGTTCATAGTGGTGCTATATACAATAACCAAATGCTGGAAACAGCACAGGTGCCCATCAGTAAATGAGTAGAGGAAAAGACTATGGTACATTTAGACAATGGAATACTATGCAGCAGAAAAAAAGAATGAACTCCTACCTTTTGCAAAAGCATAGATGGAACCAGAGAATATTTTGCTAAGTGAAATAAGCTAGTTAGTGAAAGACAAATACCATATGATGTCATGTATAAGAGGACTCTAATGAACAAAATAAACTAAAGAACAACACAGAACCACAGGTCTGGAAACATGGACAGACTGACTGTGACCAGAGATGTAGGGGGAGGATGATAATGGTGGAAAGAAGGGGAAGGGTCTAGTCAAAGAACATGTATGAATGGCCCATGAACATGGAGTACAGTGTGAGAATTGACTGCTGGAGTGGGAGGGTGGAGTGAGCAGAAGAGGACAGAGGGGAAAATTTGGGACATCTTACAATACAGTAACAATAAAAATGATTAAAAATTTTACGAAGAGAATGGTAAAGGGTTATTTTTCCCCTGTCATAGTCTGCTGACAAGTTTCCTCAGTTGATATGTGTCTCCATGATGTTGGGGATTTAGACTTCTTCCCTCATGTGCTACTCCATCCCTTCCCCCACCCTAGGCACTGTCACATCCACATGGTTGGAAAATGCTCACCACTGTGTCCACTGGGTTTGCTCTGAGCCAGCCCAAGGAGAGGAAAAGAGGGAGAGTAACAGTTGACTCCTCCCTTAAAGGGCATCTGGAAGTGGTCATGTCACTGCCAATCAAATTCTGTCCATTTGACTGGTTTCCATGACCACTGCCTACTTGCAAAAGAGGCTGGGGATTGGGGCTTTTGGAGGGCAGCCATGTGCTCAAACACCCCCAAGTTAAAAATTTGGGGTTTCTATGACTTCAGAAAGGAGGCAAAGGAAATGGGGAATTAACAGTCTTACAATCCTTACTGTGAGATAATAGGAAATATATATTATTCTCTGCCTCTTGTTCCAGGCACAGAACCGAAACCCTTGTAATTTTCTAAGTGATAGAGCACTAGGTGCATCTTTTGTTGTAATGAGGTGACTCTGAGGGAGCTCATAGATCATTCCTGGATGAGAAATAGTCACCCAAAAGGCCAACCCATGATTAAAAGCTTAGAATTTTCAGCCTCACACCCATACCCACTTTTCCAGAGAGGCAGGAGGGAGTGGAAATTGAGTTCATAATTGATTGTGCCTACTTGTGGAAGCCTCCATAAAATCTGTAACACAGAGTTCAGAGATTCCAGATTGGCAAACAAATCCACACCAGGACAGAGGTTCCTGTACTCAGGACTTGCCCAGACGTCACCCTATATATCTCTTCATCTGGTTGTTCATCTGTATCCTTATTATATTCATTATTACCAGTATATAATAAGCTGGCAAACGTAAGTATGTGTTTCCCTGAGTTCTGTGAGCTGCTCCAGTAAAAACTGAACCTAAGAAGGTCATAGGAGCTTTCAATTTATAGCTAAATTGGATAAAAGTTGGACATAGCCTGGGGACCTAGTAATTCACATCTTCAGATTGACATCTGAAGTAGGGTGGGAGCAGTCTTGTGGGACTGAGCTTTAACGTGTAGGACCTGATGCTATCTTCAGGCAGGCGGTGTCAGAATTGAGTAAATCATAGGACATTCAGTTGGTGTTGCAGCAAATTGCTTGATATGAGAAAAACTCTCACTCATTTGGTGACCAGAAGTGCAAGAAGTGAAGTATTCTATGTAGAAGTGAACAAGTCACAAAGGCGAGAAATACATAAAAGAGAAAAACTTAGTAGTTTCTTATTATACTTTTTTTTATTCTTACTGAAAAAAATGCCAAACTTTTATTATACTTTCTTTATATTTTCAGGAAAAACCTCAGAGGGGGAAAACTAGGAGCCTAATCTTGTATGTCTAAACCACAGGTCTCAAGTAGAGCTTTTGTGGGTGACCTGGCTAAAACCAAGGTTTATGGGTGCATCCAAAGAGAGGTTTTTCCTGGCTTGATTTGGGTTTGAATAGGCCTGTGCTCAAGGTGTTGCCTGCTCTTCTCCTGTAAAGGGCTGTTTGCAGGGAAGGCAGGGCTGACCCTTGTGAATGCTTAACATTGGGAAGAGCTGAAAGGACCAGCTGAGGCCAGTTGCATTAGCCTGAACTACAGTGTTGATGCTGTGGCTCTAGAGGTGATTTGAAGCAGAACAATGTCGATCCAAGAAAGGGCAGATGTGGGACTTGTCTGTGTTTAGGCAGGTCCACAACTCCCTTGAGCATTGCCCTAGTCTGAAATGCCAGTATGGGGCAATGGCCCCATGGTGATTCCGGGGCCACCTCCCACTGCCGTGTCCTCTAATCAGTGGTCAACAGGCCTTTTTTTGCCCTGGGGAGGCTCCCACAAAAGGGCACATTTGGTGATGGAGTTGGGTTGCATCAAAGTCTGAGCTTCTTCAGCCCTTCCTGCTTTCTCCCCTTTGTGTCCGTCAATGAAGGGGGGCGGGAGGGAGATTACCCCCCAAACCTCTCGAACTCTTAACTCCTCTTCAGCACCCACTTTCTGAGGCTAGATCTAACACACACCCATTTCTCACTTCTGTATCTCTCCCCAGGGCAACTGGATTTCCAGGGCCCCAAAACCTCACTTGTGTGCCAGAACTTGCAGGGCCACCCAGGGCACACCCAGATGGGCAGGAAAGACACATGGAGTGCTGGTTACTGCTGGTCAGGACATTTTTTAACCCTGGGGACACTTTCTCACCCAGCCAAATGTCACTCTGATTGGATTGGGGTTGTTAGGGTTGGGATCCTGGACAGGGACAGGGATTGTAGGCAGGAGGCTTCCACTGGCCACTTTAGGGGGAGGAGCTGTGCACCTAGGCAGGGGTGAGAAGGACAATCAGGTTGCCAGGCCGGGAGTGGGGAACAGGTCAGGTTGTGGAAGGTGAGATGAAGGCTTTCTTCTCATGAGACCTTTCTTCAGTACTCAAAAGTAACTGTCTTGACCCTCAGGTACTCATTCAGGGCTGCCTCTCCTGCAAGACAACATATGTAATTGGAACCATCTCCATCATAGCTGCCCCTGCATTCATATTATCTCATGGACCCCTGTAGCAAGTGAGTGGGGTCAACTCTGACTCAGCCTGTCACAGGTGAGAAACCAACAGTCAGTGGATCAGCCATTAATCAGTGAGTTGGGGGGCCAGGATTCCAACAGGAATATAGAACCAACCGGCGGCCACTGTTCCAGAGACTTTCCCAGATCCAACCACCTGCACCTAAGGAAGGGTGGCTTTATCAGCTCCAGAGCAGCTGAGAGGCTCTCTTGGAGCCTTCCTGTTACCCAGATGTTCCAGCTTCTCCTTACTGCTGCCTGCCAGCTAATTCCAGCTCAAATTGTGACTGGGAAGAGGAGTGCTTCAAGGGTCCCTGGGATCTTTGGAACTTGGTTGTGCTATGTGATCAGTATGTTTCAGCCCCACAACCAGCACAAAGGGCCTGTGTCTGCCTGGCAACTCCCCTACCTGCTGTGTAGTGTTGGGGCTGGCCCCAGGAACCATGCTGCTGCCCACCCTGTCCTCACCACCAGCTGAGGCCCATTGAGGTCTCTGGCCCATCCCAGGTAGGATATTTGGAAGGCCGGGTTTGTGGACAAAGTACACAGGGAACAGTGGGAGGAGGGCCTGGGGTAACTTGGAGTGGGGCAGACTCATAAGTGACAGAGGTAATATCCTGGGTACCTACGGCCTTTCTGGATGGTTGTGGTCCTCTTGGATTTCCATGGAGGATACCAGGAAAGTAGCCCAGGGGAGGCAAGGGCACAGCCGGCAGAAGTGTCCAGCATGCATGTGTGTGCACATGTGTGCATGTGCATGTGTGTGCATGCATGTGTATACACATGCACCCTGCTTCAGCATGCAGAGTGTCTGTAGACAGCAAGGATTTAGGGGGTATAGTTGGGCCATTTTCACAAGAGCCTTTGGAGCTTTCCTCAGAGTTTCAAAGGTGGCAGGAAAGAGAAATAAAACAGTGACTGTCTTGGTTCCAGCCTCAGCCTGAATCTCCCTGAGAACTCAGGGGAGGCCTGAAGGGATGGAGGCTTTTAAGAAACAGTATGCTGCTCTCTCATACCTTTTGTTTCCTGCCAAGCTTGGCATCAGAGCTGTGATTCCCAATGGGAGCTATTCCCCAGCTGCTGGCTTCTGGAGTGGCAGGATGGGGGAAATATGACTCACCCTAAGTCATGCAGCAGCACGGGGAAAGAGGATTGAGTGTTGAAGCAGAACTCCCCTTTCCGGGCAGGAAGGTCAGGCTGGGCTTGCATTTGGCTTGCCATCTAGGTGACCTTGTCTCTACATTAGGGACTCACACTGCCCCAGTGGGAACACTTGGATCCATGAATTCCCCCTCTCCTTGAGGATGAAGCCTGAGGCCTGACTGTGGCCCCAGGGTCCCTCGATCTGGCCTCTGCCTGCCTCTTAAGCATGTTCTCTTCCTGTCCTACTCATCCTGTATCCATATAAGCCTCTCTCTACAGTTCCAAGACCAAAGTTGGTTCCCTCAGGACCTGCCATCCCCTCTTCCGAGAACACACACCCTCAGGTCTTCATGGCTGGCTCCTCCCACTACTGCAGGCTCGGGGCAAGTGCTGTCTCCTGAGAAAGGCCCTCCGTAGTCCCTGGCTAAAGTCACCTTCCCAGTCTCCATTCCCGGATTACTTTGTCTTGTCTGCTTTCTAGCATTCCTCACTTTCTAGAAGGATCGTGTTTATTGCCTTAATTACAACTTGTCCCTTCTCAGTAAGAAGTGAGCACCAACAACCATCTTTTCAATGTTATAACTCTGGCTCCTGGGATAGGGCCTGACACCCAGTGGCCTCTGACAGATGTTTAGGATTAGGTTACCTAGGTCTTTGCCAAATCCAGATTGCTTGAACCCTCCGAAGGGAGCGGCCACGTCAGTCTTGTTGTATGTGTTGATAAACACGGTGCCTGCCTCCAGCTTCTCACTGACATACAGGGCCTTGCTGATGTCCCTGGTGAAGACACCAGAAGCCAGGCCAAATTCTGTGGCATTGGCCCGAGACAGCACAGTGTCCACATCACTGCAGGGAAAATCCAGGAAAAATTTAGTGAAGGAGTATTGGGGAATATGGAATTCATGGAGACCTGCATCCTCTCCCCCAAAGGGGAGCCCACACCCATCCAAGCTTCCCATCACTCAGGACCTTCTGAGGAGAAATGTGCCAGGCCTACAGCAAGACTGGAGGAGACAGGGTAATAGAAAAAGACAAAGTTAAAGAGAGGAAGAAGAGCAGAGTCAAATTTGCACACAGTCAGCCACAAGGACCCTTCAGGTCATCAAAGATGAGCCCCTCACTTTAAAGATAGTGAGACAGGAGCCCAAAGGAGGTAGGTGGGGCCCCTACCACACATGTATTGAGTAGTCCCCAGGGAGCCATACTGAGGTGTCCCTTGAAGGCTTAGCACAATATTTGCTTGGTAGATAGCAGAAAAGCATCTTATTCTAATACAATCAGAATGTGATGATAATTGGTAATTTTTGGACAGTTGGAAGTACAGTGTATTAGGAGAAGGTGCCATTTCATAACCTATTCAAAGACTCTATTCTGAAAAATAATAAAAGAACTTGTGGTAGTTCAAATATTGCCACAGAGTCCAATCCCTCTCCCTTTAAACCCAGGCTAGCCTTAGTGACTTGCTAGGCCAATGGGACACGGTAAAAATTAGGTTCTGGGATTTCTGAGATTGATCAGTGAATCTTGAGGAGACTTGAAGCTTCCCCCCATCCTCTGTGTGGGAATCAGGTATGGAGCAGAGGCCCTGAGGCTGCCATTGTTGGAGAGGGGAAGCCTGCAGGGAGGCCCAGAGCCCACGCAAAGAAAACCACTCCAGGCATTGTTGCTGAGGCCCAGACATGGCACAGAACAGTGGTGGTCAGCCCTATCAACCCCTTACCAAATTGCAGATTCATAAATGAAATAAATAGCTGTTGCTATTTCAAGCCACTGAGGTTTGGGGTGTGGGGAGGTTATTACATAGCAGTAGATAATTATAACACACCATGAGAGACATCCAAAGGTTCAGAGAATGTTCACACTGTGACCCAAAGCCCTGCCAGTCCCCTAGGGCTCTCCTTACTTCAGTGGTTGACGAGGACTCAGCAGGCAGGCAGGCAGGCAGCATCCACTGCCTACAACCTGTCTGAGTTCTCCTCCTACCCTCACATGTGAAGAACTCTGTAATGCAAGGCAAAAAATCAAGTTCTTGAGAGATATAAGCAGATTCCCTACCCGCTGGCAAACCGAGAGATGATCATGACAGGTCCAAAGGACTCTTCTTTGGCTATGAACATGTGGTCTTCCACGTCTGTGAAAACAGTTGGCTCGAAAAAGAAACCTGTGTGGGAGACAGAGGCCCATGACATGGGAGAAGACCTTCCTCCAGTAGTCTAGCCTCTCCCCATCCAGGCTGGGTCCCACCAGCCACTGCATGGACATTCCACTCTGCAGTGCTATTTGTGATATCTGTATGGTGGACACCACATTCTGTGGGTGGCTTTCCTGCCCTAGACAGATGACTTCATGTGAGTTTCACAACCCTTTCAGCTAAATGCTGCTGAGGAAAATGAGGCTTAGAGTTAATCTATGATAGAGCTGACATTTGCATCCAAGTCTGTCCAAGGCCAGCATCAAGGCTCAAGACTATGACAAAGACTTGGGTGTTTCTAGTGACATTGAACCTGAAAACATATCCAATTCTTTGGCTAGTGCAGCCTCCCAGGTAGGTCTCCATTGATCCCAGTGAAATAGCCAGGGTTAGGGAGAGGCTTTGGACACTGGTCCTTACAGACAAGACCTTCCAAGGCCGACCTTCCTTCTTCTTCCTGGCACCTCAGTGTGGACACTGACTCCCTAGGTGCACGGTTAAGTGCACTTGACCAAGATACAGTCTTATGCTCTTCTGTCAACATGGATCCACCACCTACTCAGGTCCCAGAAATTCTGCTCCCTCCTCTTGCCCTTCAGGTCAGGTGGTTGTGGTGGTGAAGGTTTCCCACTGTTCATGGTTCCTGGGTGCTGCACCCCCAAACTGCTCTTTGAACAGTGCCATCGTGTCTTTCTCTCATATCAACACCAGAGCTCTGGCCTCCGGGAATTCTCAGTAGGGGAATTCCCAGCCTCTGGGACAACTTCGAGAGGTCCAACATTCACATCTTAGGGATGCTGGAAGGAGAAGAGAACTAGCAAGGAATTGGAAATCTACTTGAAAAAATAATGGAAGAAAACGTCCTTAATTTGGTGAAGGAAAAAGCTATGCAAGTCCAGGAAGCACAGAGTCTCAATCAAGTTGGACCCTAAGAGGACCACACCAAGACACATCATAAATAAAATATCAAGGGTTAAAGATAAAGAGAAAATGTTACTAGCAGCAAGAGAAAAGTAAAGAGTTACCTACAAAGGAATTACCATAAAACCATCAGCCTTTTCTCAAAAGAAATTTTGCAGGAAAGAAGGAGCTGGGAAGAAGTATTCAAAGTCATGAAAGGCAAGGACTTACATCCAAGATTACTCTATCCAGCAAAGATATCATTTAGAATGGAAGAGTAGATAAAGTGCTTCCCAGACAAGGTAAAGTTAAGGAATTTATCATCACCAAGCCACTATTACATAAAATATTAAGGGAATTATTTAAGAAAAAGAAGAGAATCAAAACTATGAACAGTAAAATGACAACAAACTCACAACTATCAACAACTGAATCTAAAAAATTAAAACAAAAACAAACTAAGCAAACAACTAGAACAGGAACAGAATTGTAGGTCTGGAAATTGTTTGGAGGGTTATCAGCTGGGAGGGTAAAAGGGAAGACATGGGGGAATGGTGCAGGGATCAAGAAGCATCATTGGTGGGGACAAAATAGACAGGGGGAGGTTAAGAATTGCATAGGAAATGGAGAAACCAAAGAACTTACACTCATTACCCATGGGCATGAACTAAAGATGGGATATCTAAAAGGAAGGAGGGTACCAGGCAGAGGGTGGGAAAGGAAAAATAATCAGGACAACTGTAACAGCATAATCAATATAATATACTTTAAAAAAATTCTCCTTCGCTCCATCAAATTCACTCAGGCTTAGTGGAGGCTAAGTTCTGACACGAGGGACCTAATAGTATAGAGGAGACACATGGCTCCTGTCCAATTGGAGCAGGCACTCTAATGGGGAAGCAGCTCAAATAGTCTATACCTGTGGCTCCAGCACCTCTGGCTCTGCTGACTTCCTCAAATGGAAGATTCTACAGATGCAGGTGTGTGTGTGTCTAGGTTCAGGCTGGATTTGGGGATACTATGATGATGTGATGTATTTGGTACCCTTTGAGTCTGAAGGGTCTAGGGGACATGCAGGTGGAGGTGTTCAGGTGGTTAGGAGTTCTGAGTGAGAAGGAGCCTGGAGACAAATATTTGGGAGGATCTGAGCCATTGCAGAGACTGAGATCTTCTAGGGAAAGTGTCTAACATGAGAAGTGCTTCAAACTCAGGACAGACATGGGGATATATCTACATTTAAGGGACGGGTGGAGAGGGAGCTTCCAGCAAAGAACAACTGCCAGGAAGTAATGGCCAAATATAGGAAAACCATCAAGTGCAGGGTTATGGAACCCTCCATGGGAGGAAAGGATGTCTAGGATGCAGTGATGTTAGTGGCAAGTCAGAGTCCACTACAATATGGATTAAACTGGCACTGACTATGCTTTCAGCTCTTGTGCCTTCATCTTGCCAGTCCTACACTTGGTCTGGCAGGTGTTTAAATAGCAAATGCCACCCACCCAAGATCCTGGATGGGGCCTGGGACTGGGGACCCTGACTATGCATGTACCTGGCCTTCAGTTACCTCCAGTTAGTTCTGGGCAGAAAACCACAGGTCATGCTACCTGCTTCCTCAGTTTGCCCAAGTGGACAAGGAGTGTTCTGACTAACCTGGCCGAGGAACTTGTTTCCCACCACAGACCAGCGTGGCTCCTTCCTTCACACCGTGCTGGCAATACTCTATCAGCTTCTGTAGGTGGGCTTGGTTATTCTGTGGCCCATGGTTGGTGTCACGGTCAAGAGGGTTGCCAATCTTCATCTTCCTCACCTCTTGTACCTGGAGAAAGTCCTCTCAGTCAGTCTCACTCAGGTGCCATAGTTTCTGACTTTGCTCATCACCTGATGCCCCTCCATATTTGGATTTTCAGTGACCAATCACTGGTCCCTGAAGAAAGCCCATGTTCCAGTTTCTGGCATTTATAGCATTCCATATTCTTGCTCCAAACCTGCCTTCCAGGCTGAAGCTCAAATGTATGCTATGTGCAGGGAAACCTAATCCTAGTGTCAGAGTGGCTGGGAAACATAGTTGCACAGGATATAGGTGGATGGAAAATAGAGGCAGGTGTGCCTCTGAATGAGGGAAGCAAGAGTGGGGCAGCAAAGGGTGTGTCTCTACATTAGTCCTGCACCCAGCTTCACACGCTAAGCTGAAGAAAGGCTTGTTGCAGGACTCCAGGATATGGGATGGGGATGGGATGGGGAAACACCAATCCTGATGTAATTCCCCGGTGGCAAGGTATCATTTAGAATGGAAGGGACAGACACTGAGTGGAATGGAGAGACCTGGGCCTGGAGTTCACCTATGCTTGACCTTACTTCTACCTGCTTCAGAACCCAACTGGAAGGCCCCCTCTTCCAGGAAGCCTTCTCTGTTGCCTTGGCCAACATACAAATAGGTCTAGGCTTTGCTGCCTACAGATGGCCTGGGTCTCCTCAAGTAGTATGCCAAATGTTATTTGATGATTCTGGCACTGGGGTAGAGAGAGTCAGAAAAGGGTGTTGGATGCTTGATAGGAAAAGGGACTCAGTTGAACATAACCAGCATTCAGAGATCAGGGGTAGACACCAGATATTTAAGGCTTCAGCTCCTCCCATTTTTGTCACCTCTCTCTCCAGCTCCTTTCTTGGTTTCCTAAGACAAAACAAGGTCATTTCTGCCCTCACTGTAGCCTCTTCGAGGTCAGGCTTGACTGGCCTCCTTTTCTGTAGCTGGGGCCACTTCACTCCCACGCTGGCTTCACATTCTCAGCCAGGCTAACTAATATGCAGGAGGTGCTCAAGCCTCCCCACTTCCACCTTCCCACCAGGGCACCTTAGCTCTTCTGATTGTCCTGAAGTATCCCCAAACCAAGATCAAGCCCCCACTGTGCTCCTGCCTGGCCACCCAACTGCTTTTGTTTCCCAAAGACACAAAGGGCAATCTTGTTGAGTCTCCTGGATGTTCAACTTACTCTCTGCATTTGGGAATCTGAGCCCTACCTTCTCCCAGGGGAACTGAGTGAGCTCCAAGAGGCCTCTAAACTTCACTCTCACACAGGGGGGTCCTGCCACAAGCCCTGCACCTACCTGAGCACAAACTGCAGAATGAAGGACTGGGGGAACAAAAAAATGAGCCATCCAACATAGCCACCAAGTGTCCCAGCGGACCTGGCAACTCATCACAGATGTGTAAGCAAGCTTAGGAGAGCTTGGGCTGGTGTCCACACTACCAATTCACAAGATTGTGGGTTGCGTGAGCAGCTGTTATCTCAAGCCACTAGTTTTATTATATGGCAGAAACTATTACACTCTCTTTTAGAAAATCTGTTCCTTTCTTCACTGCCTTTATATTTTTACCCATTATTCAAGATCTCCAGGAACTCCTTCTTAACAGCAGTCCCACCCTATTCCCAAGCCTACTCTCTCATTTCTCCTGACTTCCTAAATAAATAGTTTGTTTAAACCTGCACATAGAGTTTGTGCCCCTAGCACCCCCTTTCATAGTCATTTGGATTAGGTTTTTCTCTCTGCAGCATGTGGGGGAGAGGAGCTCTTGGCTGAAGCTGAGCCAACCAGAGTTCCCCAAAACCGTGCTCTGCCTGAATGGATCAGGATGGACCACACTAACACCAACCCGCATCTTTCCCCACAACCTGTTCCAACAGAACTGGTGGGGGAAGAGCGATTTTCTTTTCTGTATCTATGTTGTAAGAAGTAGGATATGTTGTCAGCACCCCATCCCATTCCCTTAACCTGTGGGCACCCAATCAGCAGTGGCTGTGAGAGGTGGCTGCTGCAGAGTCCCAGAAGCTGACTGGAACTGCTCTCCTCCAGCTGGCAGACAGACCAGTCAACAACTGTTAACAGGAGAAAAAAGCCTGGCCTTTCAACTTCAGTGGTACACCTGAGTGAAATCATTTGTGCTCCCAAGCTCCTGTCTGTGGGTCAGGCCAACGCTGGATGTCACCTGAGACCATGTCCTCAGTCCCTGTTCTCTCCTAGACCTTGACATCTTCCAGGTTCCCTGTAAGTGCTCACCTTTGGTAAGCCACATGAATTCCTGGCTCAGGCTCCACTGCTAGAGAGCCAACCTAAGATAAACACTTTTTGGTTATGTCAAGTTTAGCTACTAAGTTTCCATTTTTTGCTAAAATAACAAAATGCAGTGAAGACTTGACATAGTTCCCCATGAAGTTTCCCTGCCCCAAGGAGAATTGTGCCCACCTCCACCTGGTGACTGTGCCAGTGCACCAGCACCAAGACCCTGTGGCAGAACTTACCACCTTCTGCACAAACTCGTCATGTATTGAGTCCTCTACGAAGAGCCGGCCTGCTGCAATGCAGTTCTCGCCTTTGTTGAAGAAGACGGAGCTCATCCCCTTTGGCAAATGGACAAGAAAGCTGAATTACAGCTGCTCCCAGGGGTGCTGGCCCCCCAGTCCCACTAGGCCCTTCATAAAGAAAAAGGGAGGAATGCACACGCTCTAGCCTACTAAGGTCAGGCCTGAGGGAACTGCTGGCAGTCCAGAAAAAATATGCACCTAGGACCAAGGGAGCCTGCTTTCTGGACCTGGGGAGCCCCATGTCAGGGACAAGGGGAGGAGCGACAGGCTGGCTACTTGGCTCTCCTGAAAGCTGGACTGCACTGCCCTGCAGCATGGCCCAGGTCTCTGGCCCAATAGTGTCGCCTCAGCACCAGAACCAAGATCCTTGGGCTGATAGACTGGCCTCCTTCAGTTTCCACATCTAGTGAGGCTGGACTCTCTTTCATGTCTGTGTTGGGTGCCACATCATCTTCCAAGGCACAGTGGGACTTAGATGGAGTGGGAGTATATCTGGGCACCTGGTTGAACATAACATAACAATGTTCAGCCAGGGACTGAGACATAACAATGACAATACTAATGTAAAAAGAACTGATACACAGCATGTGCTACATGTGGCTACCATTCTAAGTCCTTCAGACATAGTAGGTTGTTTGGTCCTTGTAATAACCATAAGAGCTAGGTATTCTATTCTCCCCATCATACAGATGAGACCATGAAGGTCCAGAAAGGTAAAGTAACTTGCTTAAGACTATACAGCAGGTCAGGGGCAGAGGTGGGTAACTGTGGACACAGCCACAACCAAAGTTTGGGAGTGGGGATTGCTGTCAGCAGGGTTGTGCCCAAGTGCCCAAGGTGCTGCTTTCCTAGGATAGGAAAGGTTGCCATGCTGATTTCAACATGTTTCACAATCTGTGAAGCTGATTCCAGTTATGCTTACAGTTATGAAACTTCCTGGGAAATTTATTTTGGAGAGCATGTGTCATCTCTTGTTCCCAAGCCCCTTCCTGTCACAGTGTATGCTTATGGCTGGCACTATAGTCTAGGTTAAATGTGTGAGTCTGACTGTAGAATCAGAGAAAGCTTCCCTCACTCCTTCTCCCACCCTGCAGACCGACCCTCACCATCTGCACAGCCTTGCTGAGATCACAGTCAGCGAAGATGATAAGGGGTGACTTCCCACCTAGCTCCAGGGACACCTTCTTCACATTACTCAGGGCACAGCTGAAAGAAAGAGTGTTGGTGGGGTTGGGTCCATCACAGATGGGTACACAAAGGCTCTAGGTGGAGGGAGCCAAGGGCAGCTCCAAAGCATGCTTTATTTGAAAGAGCAAGCCGAGGGTTGGAGGGAGCCCCATGTGAGGCCTGGTCCACTATCTTCTCCCTACCCTACACAGGCCAACTATTCCCTCCCACTTCCCCTTGCTCACTGGCTGTCCACTGTGCTTCCTCCTCCTCTAACACCCAAGCCCACACTCACTTCAGGGCCTTGCTCTCACTGCCTCCCTCTTTGGTCAGTTCTTCTTCAGATGTCCCTGAAGCTCATTCCTCACCTCTGAAGGCCTCTATTCTAAAGGTATCTTGTTAGGGTGCCTGCCCTGACAGTTCCCTATAAAATCCAGGCTTCTGTGCACCATTCACCAGTGCTTAAGCCCCACCAAAGTGAACAGGCACTTGTCTGGTCATGCCACTGGTGTTCAATAAATGTCAAACTAATAAATCAAACATAGAACTATTCCCCATTTGGGGCAGCTGCAGTACTGTAGGGACTTTACACCTTGGATTTTTAGTGATGGGTGCAAGCAGAGTAGCTGGGGATCCTGTGAACACTGCATTGGTGGGCACAAAATGGATTTATTGACATTGTATTCAAAGGGACACTCAGAAGACTGGGCCAGTGAAGCATGAGGCATGACACAGGGCAGGGGGCTCCTTACTCAGGACTGATTGCAGGAAAAGGACTCCCCTGTTTCAGGAACAAGCCACGAGGCCTTGGAGAGGTTCCTGGAAAGAAAGCAGCTGCAATGCCATGGGATGCTGCCCACCCAAACTCTTCTTGGAGTTCTTAGAGTGGACATTTCCAGAGTCCTACCTCTGCACTTTGCACACACTTGTTCAGATGTAACTCTCATCTATACACCACAGAAGAGACTGACCAACTTTTGAATCAGAAGAGGTAAATAAGCTGCTATGACTATTTGCAGTTACCTCTCCTGCTTTGTCATCCTTCTGTCTGTCCATTTGTCAGTCCCTCGTTCCCTCCAACCGCCTTCTCTTCAATACTGAAGCTTACTCCACTGCACTCAAAATGATTCAAAGCAACACTACCTTGTGAACTCACAGGTTGTGACATCAGCCACTACTGACTGAAAAAACATGACCCACCAGCCACACTGCTGTGGCTCCTGACCCAAAAGTGGATGTTACATAAGGCCATTGTGATTGGCACAAGCATGGTACCCACTGGAAATGGGGACACAGCCCCGTCTGGCTCACAGAAGGCATGTGCAGGGCTAAAGGGCATGAACCCCACCTTGTGGGCCACAGAGAAGCCTGTGAATTTGTGGAGACAGGGACTTCAGAACTGTCCTAGGGAGAGAGAGCATTGCTCTGCATTAGGAGCTATAACAAGGAGACATTGTTTTAATACAAGAGAAGCCTTTTTTCCTGTGGATTGTCACGATACAGCTGGACTCCCCACATATGTGACCCTTGGAACAGAGACAGAAATGGGTGATCATATGCCCTTAGAAATCCTGAAAGTCAGTGAGCTCAGAAGCACCCTCAACTACTATCTATTTACACCCATCAAAGTGCAGATAGCTGAAATCCACCCCAGAAATTCAGGTACAGGGGAATAAAGATGGCAGAGGAGTGAGTGAAAGTAACGTTGACCTTCTCCCAGGACCAACCTGAAATTACAACTAAATTGTGGAGAAATCACCTGGAGCAAACAACTGAACAAGAGCGAGAGAGGAGCCTCGTAACCTTGGAGACAGAAGAATTGGCTTTAGCGCAATCTAACCAGTAAGCAGTGCGGTACAGACCTGAGAAGACAAGCAGGGTGCCCACGGGTGGCAGCCCCAGAAGGATATTAAATGGCCAGTTGGATCCCCCTGAGGACAGCAGGGTCTTAACCAAAAGTGAGGATCTCTAGCCCACAGCACCAGAGCCCAAAAAGTGCACGGAAAACAGCCAGCTGCGAAAAGCTGCAGGGTTGCTCTCTGCCAGAGACAGGCGGCTGGAGATGCAAAGAACTGTTTAAAGGGCCAACGCGTAAATTTTTATTTGCAGCCACTTACCCTGGTCTCCAGCAAAGGCAGAGGCAGGGTGGGCTAGAGACGCCTGAGGGGAGACTGGGGAAGGAGGTTTTGGGGAGAGAACTAACAGAGTAGCCAGTGGGATCTCGGTGCTGACTCATCCCCCATGTGGCAGCAGCCATCTTGCTCAGGAAGAGACCACTCCCCCTGAGTGGCATCAGCATCAAAAGACCCAATAGCCCGACCCCCAGGTGAGATTCCACCCTGCCCTGTGCTATCTAAGTTGCCTGCTGAGTGCAGAGTGGCAGCCACAGATAGTAGATCCCTGGCTAAAGGGGGTGCAGAGAGGCCTGGTGACACTTGAGGAGACACTGGGGATGGAGGTTTTGGGGAGAAAATGGAGAGAGTGGATGGGGGGATCCCAGTGCATACTCCTTCCCCATATGCACCAGTGTGAGAGGACCCAATAATCCTGCCCCCAGGAGGGACTCCGCCTCACCCTGAGCTGTCTAAGGAGGCCTGCCGTGTGCAGAGTGAATACATTAACAGCTGAAGGAGATAGCCACAGACAATAGATTACCAGAAGTCTTGAATAGACTGAGTAAGGTCAGAGAGGGTCAACATCTGACATCATCAGAAGCAGATCCAGAACATAAAGAAAATCAATGGTCTCCAACCATAGAAGATCACAGCACAAAGTCAGGAAATCCACACAGATCAACTTAAGAAGCAGAAGCAAAAGAAAAGAGTCTCATAAATAATGGGAAGACAAAGAAATACTCCCCACTTGAAGGGAAAGGAGGAATCCCCACAAAGAGAACTAAATGAAAGACAGGCAAGTAAACTATCAGATATTGAGTTCCAAGCAACAGGTCTAAGGAAGCTCAGTGAGTTCAGAGAGAATTACAAAAAACTACAGGGAAACTATGAGGAACTTACCGCAAACCATATCAGTATGAACAAGGACATAGAAACTATCAATAAGAGACAAGAGGAAATGAAGAAAACAATTTCTGAATTGAAGAACACAGTAGAAGGAATCAAAAGCAGGCTAGATGAAGCTGAGGACCGAATCAGCGAGCTGGAAGACAAGGTAGAAAAAAGCTTCCAGAAAGAGCAAGAAAAGGAAAAATGACTCAAAAAGAATGAAGAGTCATTTAGAAAAATGCAGGACAACCTGAAATGTAATAATATCCATATAATAGGGATACCAGAAGGAGAAGAGGATGAGGAAGGGATATAGAACCTGTTTGAAAAAGTAATGATGGAAAACTTCCCTAATTGGAGAAAAGAAAAATTCACACAAGTCTAGGAAGCACAGAGGATCCCATTCAAAGGGAACCAAATGAGGCCCACTCCAAGACACATCATCATTAAGATGGCAAATATCAAAGATGAACAGAGAATCCTAAAGCAAGCAAGAGAGAAAGAGGTAGAAACATATAAGGGAGCCCCAATATGGCTAGCAGCTCACTTCTCAACAGAAACACTGCAAGCCAGAAGGGAATGGCAAGATATATTACAAGTAATGAAAAGCAATGGCCTGCAACCAAGACTGCTCTACCCAGCAAGGCTCTCAATTAAAATGGAAGGCGAAATAAGGAGTTTCCCAGACAAAAGAAGGCTAAAAGGATACACTTCCACCAAACCAGCACTGCAAAATATGCTAAAGGACTGGTTTAAGATGAAGAAAAAGTTTCTATGAATACCCAGTTCCTGTCAGAGTTGCCAATACTTGATAATACCAATATTTTTAATACTTATTAATCTGATTGTGACATGATGTTATTTTAATTGTTCCTTTACTATTTGTTGAAACTAAACTTGTTTTAATATATTTCTTGCCTATTTCTTGTATTTAAAAAAGAAAACTTTAAATGACTTTTTGGTAGTCTTATCCATTTATTGATTAAAGGTTTGTAGAACTTTTTTCCAAAAAAAAACAAAAACAAAAACAAGAAACCTATTAACCATGTTTTAGATGTGCTGCAAATACTTTTCTATTATATCCCTTGTCCTTTCACTTTTTTTATGTGTATATTACTATATAGTAAAATGTTTAATATAGTCATATTGTTAATATTTACTTTATAGCTTCTGGGTTTGAATATTTTACTTCAGGTCATGAAAAATATTAGTTCTATTTTCTTCTAAAACTCCTTAGATTCTACATATTGATTTTTAACTCACCTGAATATTTCTTGTACAATGTATGAAATAGGGCTCTATATTTGTTTTATTTCAAGTACTAGTGGTCCATGCACCTTATTTGTTGAATAAGTCTTATTTTACCCATTGATTTGAAATATCAACTTAATCATATATTTTTAAACAGATATATATGTTTGTCTCTAGAATACTCAATTGTCTCTAGAATACTGTGAACCCAGTCTTAATATATTTTATTAATGTAGTTGATTATTTCTGTGCTGATATCATGTTGATTTAATTGCTGAGACTTAATAATGGTTTTAAATTTTTTAAATATTTTATAATTAACTTTGACATTTAAAAAAATAAATAAAATCAATCTACATTTAAGAAAGAAAGAGAGAGAGATGGAACTCCTACCTTTTGTGACAACATGGTTGGAACTGGAGAATGTTAAACTAAGTGAAATAAGCCAGTTGATGAAAGACAATTACCATATGATCTCACCTATAAGTGGACTTTATTCAACAAAATAAACTAACGAACAAAATAAATCACAGGCATGGAAACATGGAGCAGACTGAAAGTGACCAGAGGGGATGGGAAAAGAACACAATGTTGGAAATAAGGGGAAGGGACTAGACAAAGAACATGTATGAATGACCCATGGACATGGACAACAGAGTGGGAATTGACTGTGGGAGTGGGGGGTGGGGGTTGGGTGGGTGGAGGGGGTAAAGGGGTGAAAACTGAGACAACTATAATAGAATAAAGACGATTTATAAATTTAAAAATTAAAAAAAGCTTAAAAAAAGGAATTCAGGTACAGTGGGGTGGGGTTTAGTTATCTGGTGACTGTCTTGGGGCAGCAGGGTTGCAGCTGCTGCCCTGGGTTCTGGCCCTATGTACCACTCCAAGCTCATCTACTGCGCAGTCCAAAATCACTGAACCTGTAAAACACCTTCATAGAACTTGTGGGAAAACAGGCCTGGAAGGGTCAGGAGTTGACCAAGACCTATCTTGAATTAGTAACAGGGCCCCAAACACAACCCCATTGGTTTAAGGTCAAAGTCCAAGGAATAAGAGATTTGATGATGTCCTGGATCAATGCTATCTATTACAAAAGAATGGAAGCCTCAAATACTAGCCATGTAGGTAGTGGCAATTTTTCTTTTATTAATAGCCACATTAAAAAAATAAAGTGAAACTGTGAAATTAATTCTAATACACTTAATTTAACCCAAATAATAAAAATCATTTTGATTTGTAATTAATTTAAAAATTATTAATCAGGTGCTTTACTTTGTGTGCTAAGTTTTGGGAACCTGGTATCTTTTATACCTCCCAGCACACTTCAAATCTGAGCAGTTCTATAATTCTGGTGCTCAGCAGTCACATGCAGCTCTAGCACCTCACTGATCCAAGTGAGCCCCACAGGGCAGCCACCACTGGCCATACCAAGCATTTGTCACATACTTGGAATCAGAACCTGCCTTAACCTCGCCTCCAGGAACTGCTGTGCACACAGAGGCTTGTGGAGCAGGATTCAGCTCACACACAGCACTGTCCAGGTCCAGAGGCTATAACCAGAGACACAGCTTCTGTTGCAGTGGTGGCCTTGCCCCCACACCCAAACCACCTACCTTTTCATAATATGCTTTCCCACCTCTGTGGAGCCTGTAAACCCAATCTTCCGCACATCAGGATGGTCTGAGAGTCTCTGGCCAACCAGTGGGCCTGGATGGGAGTAGGCAGAGGGTGGGGATGGGGAGAGAGTCAGGGCAGCATCTGATGTGCTGCAGTGAGGAGGCATGATCTCTGTTACTCTTCACACATCCACCCGAAGCCAGAGCTCTGGGCTGTGCCTTGGGTGCTTAATGCCATCAGTTTCTGGGGCTTATTGGGTCTTGCTCCTTGTTAAGGGCATGATTGTAGCCCCTCAAAATCCATATTGTATAGATGTAGATGTGAATAAAACCAACTCCATCTCTGTGTCCTGGATTTCATTTCATTTTTAAGTTTCATACTATAACCTTTGACCAACCTCATTCTCCTTAATAAGTATATCAAAACTTTCTAGATGATGATTATCTGTTTTCCTTAAAATGTAGCCATAAATATTTTGTTAGTAATAGCCATAATTGTATGATAACCAAGAAAAATATCAAAGTGGTACTAATAGTATCAATTATAAACAATCACCTATCACAAGACCACTGGGAGGTATGGCCCCTGGTGCCACTGTGTTCTTTGTCCCTTTGTCCTGTCAGTCCTTAGTACCTGAGTCATACTATTAAACAATTATAGTAACAGAGGTCTGTTAGAGAAGAATAATCTGTGCAGAATTGCTGGGTTATCTCTTCCACTCTGTTCCTATCTTCCCATTAAGTAAATTATGCTACAACAAATTATGTTATATTCTGTGGAGTGGCCCACTTCATCTTTCAGCCTGAACATACTGTCTCGCTCTGGTCACCATTACACTCTGCCCCACTATCAGACACGTTGAAGCCCTGACCCCCAGTACCTCAGATGTGACTGTATTTAGAGGCAGGGTTTTTAAAGAGGTAATTAAGGTCAAATGAGGTAATTAATCAATCCAATTAGCCCAAACAAACTCATACAGTCTACATGTGGTTTTAGATCTATCAATGTAGATTGAAAAGACACCAAGGGTGCAGGTACCCAGACTTCCATCTCTCCCAAGGTCTCCAGCAAAGACCCAAGGATTTCCTGGCCTGGCTGTGGAAGCAGTGGTGCCCAAGCATCACAGATGTCAAAAGGCCTTCCTTGGAGAAGGCAGTCTGGCCAGGGGGGCCGCAGGCGTGGAGAGGCTGGTTGTGAGGGGCCCTGGTGTGCAGAAGCCAGGCATTAGCTGCCCTGCCTGTTTGGAACACTTGCAACCCAACTTTCCCCTTACCCCATGGCCTTCTCACTTTACTCGAAGCCCTGCATATACCCTGCCCCCAAATGTGGCTAATTCCTATTTACCCTCAGATTTCCTTTTCAGTGAGGCTTCAGGGTCACCTCTCCCCATCCCACTGGCTCTGCACTGGGTTGTTCTGCCTGCTAGGGCACATCCTGTACCATACCTTGTTTTGATCAAGTGTATCTCTGGCTCCCTGGAGCCCTGCCCCCCTCCCGAGATGCCCATTCCCACATTTATAGCTCTTACCAGATCCTGGGAGGATGTTGATGACACCCTTGGGAATGCCAGCCTTCAAGGTCAGCTCTGCAAACTTCAAGGCTGTGAGTGGGGTCACCTAAGGAGGTAGGAAATAAAACTGAGTCAGGAGGGATTAGGGAGTAGGGCTCTGTCATCCTCTCCCAGCAGCCTAGGTAGCAAGCAGGAAGGGGCAGCTGTGGCAGGAAGACCCTTGGGGGGAAGCCATGTTCATGCATCACCATAGTGTGTACAACCAACCCAGCCAGCTTGGCAGGGGACAGGCCCTGCTAGCCTCAAGTACCTTTCTAGCACCTTCTTCTGACAGGGTTCCAGCCCCTCAGCCAGGCCTGTGTCCCTTCCTGCATGTGACACTGTTTACCCTTCTTCCTCAGGAAGTGCAGAGTCCAAGGACTATCCAGCAGGGTATCACTCTCAGAAGGCTCCAGGGCATACCCACTCCCTGCTCCCCAGAAAAAATGGCCTTCTCTCACTGTGGTATTGCCTTAGCAGCCTAACTGCTGGCCCTGACAGCAGGGAGGGTGTGGTGTTTCAGGGTCCAGCTGAGATTCTGATGATCACTCCACTGCTGGAAACAGTGTTCTGCCCTTGACCAGCTAGCAATTGACCCTCCTCTGGAGAAGAAGGGAATAAATTCCTGGTCCAAGTAACTGTCCTAGTCAAGGTAAGGTTGTGCTCCACACACTACCAGGCCTCAGCTGAGGGGCCAAATCTGTCAGGTGTTGGCCCTGGAGTAGGGTCTTTGTATTTTCAAGGGCAATGGGCTAGTGGGGGTCTTCCAGAGACAACAGCTCTCCACATGAAAAGAGGAAGGTTAAGGGTCATATCGGGGCGGGGGGGGGGGGGGGGTTGTTTTGGTGCTTAAGTAAGCACATGTATGTAAATGACTATTTTTTGTTATGTATGTTAAAATGCATAAGGAGTGCCTAACTCCAGGCTCTAAAATACTATATATGTAAGCTACCATTATTTTTTCAGGGGGGTCCCAATTACCCCAAAGAAGCTGGGGCAGTGGGAGACCTTCTGGGCACACTGTCAAGAGCCACATGCCAGATGATCTCACATCAGTTCCTAACTCCCCTCTGGAGGCAGGCAGGGAAGGAGCTGTTACTGTCAATGCACAGATGAAGAAGCAGAGGCTCACAGAGGAGGGGGTCTCTCTACCTCTGGAGGACCTTGTTCATGCCTTCCTGGCCTGCATAAGTGGCTCCTGATGTCCCACCTCTAAGTCTCTTCTATAAGGAGCTGGGGTCGCAAATGCACAAATCCCACTGCTCACCCCATTTCCCTCCAGAATTTTGGTCTCTGAGGCCAAATAGGAGACCATGGCACCAGCTTTACTAATAGACCACTGTGGGGTGTCTCAGAACATGGGGCCAGTGAAGGGGCAGCAAGCAGGTTTCCACTCTCCCAAATCCAAAATACTATAGTTGTGGAGAAATCCCTGAATCTGCTCAGCAGGCAGCTGCAAACACAGCACAGTTATCCTGATGCAGCCACCGCATGACAAATAACACAGAGCTTGCTTATAGCTGGCACTGACCCTGCTGCACACTATCTCTGCCCACTGTGAGCAGGGCCCACAGCAGGCTGGCTCTCATCAACAATACCCTTCCTGCCTTGAGGAGAAACCAGGACCAGTGTGGGCAAAGTGGCTCACAGGCCATCTGGCTCCTCCCTTACAGGGTGCTTCCCTGCAACCTCTATAGCCCTCAGGCCCTGCCTGTACCCACCTGGGTAGGCTTGATCACCACTGTGTTTCCAGCGGCCAGGCAGGCAGCCGTCTTCCAGGAGAGCATCATCAGGGGATAGTTCCAGGGGATAATAATGCCACAGACCCTGCCATACGAAAGAAGACCTTCATCTCTCCACTCAGCTTGGGTGCCCACAGTGGACCTACCAGCTTCCTCTTCTCTCCCAGGCCTGCTATCTTCTCTGGATCCAGACTTCCTGATATGGAACCAAAGATCCTGCTGAAGGCAGCTCCTGCCTGCCTCTCTAGGCCCATGTGGAGCAGTGTATTCAGTTTGGCAGGAGACCCTCTTCCCAAGGCATGATGGCATGGGACACTGGACAGTTTTTGATGGGAGCTATGAGACCAGTCTAGGTGTGCAGTTTGGTAGGGTGTGGCACCAGGTAATGGAGTGATGATGGCAGGCAAAGCATGTGTAAGAACCTAGCAGCTAGCAGGATCTGGGGGAGGGCTCCAAGTGACAAGGCAGGCTAGGGAGACATGTGATAGGACCCAGGGTCACACAAGTAGGCCAGAGGATGTGGGAGAGAGCCTTCCCAGCTGTGAGGTCAGGGCTCAGTCCCATGAAGAAGAGATACATAGAGTTAGCCTGGAAGGTCTGGTAAGGTTTGCCTGCTTTGAATTAAGACATGGCACCCAGTGCTGCACCACCTCTCAGCAGAGGAGAAAGTCTCCAGCTGGGCTGTATTTTCATGGAGGGGCTGCCACCCCACAGTGCTGGGTAACCTGGAGATGACAGCTGTGGTCCAAGTAGGCATGTGGGCCTGCTTTTCCCTTTCCTTTGTAGGAGCTAATGCATGCAAGAGCCCCACACTGACTACACAACTATTTTCATAATCACCATCATCATCTTCATGATCACTATCACCATCAGAGAATGCTCCCAAAAGGATAACTGCTTAGCTGAACCCAGGCAGTGGAAGCAGGTGGTGAGAGGCCACATGGCATGGGGTCAGGCAGAGTGAGAGCAAGGGGAGCACTGAGTAGTCACAGAGAGCAGCTTGGGGTCCCTATACCATCCTTCAAGTGATGGGGGCATACTGAGGGATTAGAAAAGCCACTTTCCCACATGATACACACCCAGCAAACACAAAGGGACAAGAGAGGGAGAGGGACCAAAGTGAGTATTCCCAGAGAAGTGGTGAGGTCACCATGGAGAAAGAGGGCTGGGTTGTGGGGTTTTCCAAAGAGAAAACATGTCATAGAAATAAGTCCTTCTGTCATAGGCTGAATTGTGCCCTCCAAAATTCTTACATTCAAGTCCTAATTCCAGAACCTCAGAATGTGACCTCATTGGAAATAAGGTCATGGCAAGTATAATTAGTTAAGAGTAGGGTGGATGCCTAACTCAATATGACTACTGTCTTATGAAGAGCATGCTATGTGAAAAGACAGACACAGAGGGAGAACTCCATGTGAATGTGAAGACAGAGTTAGGCAACACCAAAGACTGCCAGGGAGTCACCAGAAGCTGGGGTAAAGGGCTGGAGCAGATTCTCTCTCATGACCTTAGAAAGAACCAACCCTGACAAAGACACTTTGATCTGGGACTCCCACCCCCAAAATGCTAAGAAAACAAATACATGTTTGAGCCTCCCAGTTCTTCGTTATTGTGGCTCCAGTAAAACCCTGTATGTATCGATATAGGGGAAAGGCTGTGGCCCCTGGGACTGGGAATCTGCAGAGCAAGCCCTTGCTTGGGGTCAAGGCCAATGGGGGCATGGGACACAAGGACAAGATGAATACATCCTTGGCTAAGCTGCCATTAGAAGACTTTTTCATTATTCTCTGTGCCTCATCTATTCCTGGTGAACTTTCTTAGTAGGGCCCCGAGGCTTTGGCTTTTCCAGTTGAGGCCTCTACCTCCCAGCCACTACCCTGCTGTTATCCACTTGGCTGAGCACTGCAATAGGGTGACTCCTGCCTGTCCCAGGGTTCTGTCTTGAACCAGTGTGTAGCTGAGGGTGGGGTGAGGTGTCTGTGGTCTCACTTCTAGGATCAATGGAACACTGGTCAGGGCAGCTGGTTGGTGCACATTGGCTGGAACCACTCTCTGCTCTGTCATCAGGTATTTTGGAAATGCTCTATGTGTGCCCTGGGAGTGCAATAGCCTCAGTTTGCATGATGTGTGTCATGCAGAAGACAAAATAAGATTGCAGGCTACAGAGTAGGCTAACTTGGGGCACTGGTCTCGGAGAGAAGGTTACCACACAAGTGACACCTAAATGACCAGAGACTGGAGGCTGGGGGAAGGGTTCGTGCAAATACACACAGGGCAGCATGGGTGTAGAAGGTCCAGGGTCCATGAGGAGGCCAGCATGGTTGAGTGCAGTGAGTATATGGAGTCAAGAGCACTAAGCTCCCATCAAGCAGGTAGCTAAAGTCAGGAATTTGATTTCATTTTAGGTACACTGGAAGCCACCAATGGACACTAAGAGAAGTAATGAGATGGATTAATAAATTTTCTAATATTTTCTGAACATTGGAAAGAGCTGGCCTTTCCTCTTTCTCAGCACCAGGTAGGCATTCTTCTCTTCTCCCCATAGCTTAAGCTGCTTGGCCTTGCCTGAGGAACCCCTGCCTTAGAGTCGATGCTGTCTTCCCCCAGCCTTGCTCCTCTCTGTGGGCTAGAGGAGGGGTTTTCCTACATCCACAGCCCACTCTCTCTGGGCCATTGGGTCATCTATTGGTGAGACAGGGCCACTCACCACTGGGTTTAAATAATTTCCCCAGTCCCTAGTTTCATCTCTGCTGACTAGACAATTTCTCTCTCTCTCTCTCTCCCCCCTCAAACTCCTTATTGAGCATCTGTCTGTGCTCTTGCCTCTTCTCCATCAGTTTTTCTGTTCCTTGGGGCTGTATAAGAATTCTTCATTTTTAAGCACATTGATTATCATACTTTTTCAGATAAATTTTTTAAAGATTTTATTTATTTTTTAGAGAGAGGGGAAGGGAGGGAGAAAGAGAGGGAGAGAAACATCAATGTGTGAGAGAAACCTCAATATGTTGCATCTTGCACATATCCCCAACCGGGAACCTGGCCCTCAACCCAGGTATGTACCCTGACCGGGAATTGCACTGGTGACCCAGTGACCTTTTGGTTTGCAGGATGGCCCAATCCACTTAGCCATACCAGTCAGGAAGCAAATAAATTTTGGGGGTATTTCCCATTATGACGCTAACTGATACAGCATTATTATGTGGATTACATAAAATTTATATTTAAAAAGTAGTTAAAATAGTGCCTGGCACAGCACAGGTACTACGGAAGTGGAAGATGTTTTTATCCTGAGAATGGGCAGTTTTGATCATTGTATCTCCAGCTCCTGAATTGTCTGACACATAGTAGTTGGCAAATAAGTAGATGTTCAATAAATACATAAACAGAAGACAGTATCAGTGCCCCACACAGCATGTTGTGTGAAGAGCACCTAGAGTATGGCCATTCTCACCGCTGTGTTGTGTGACTCACCCAATTGGCTCCTTTCTGGTCAAGGTCAGGTTTCGGTTGGGTCTGGCCTGGTTGATGGGGATGGTGGAGCCCTGGAAGAAGCATGGACGGTGTCAGTGGGAGGGGGCTCCAGTTTCTCACACCTTCCATCTGGGCAGTCAGACCAACCCTGGAGCCCAGGGAAGAACAGGGTCTTGTCTGTGTCCTGACACCCCTACTCAGATGGGCAGAAGACCCAAACCTCCCAAATTATTATGTATAATGGGGACATCTGAATTCAGATATGGGTGGGGCAGGCAGCCCACTTCCATTATCATGTCTGAACTCAGCCCCTTTGAAGAAGACAGGAGGCACAGGGCCCAGACATGACAGACACTGAGAGCTCTGCAGCCATGGGTCTCCCTGGGGAAGAGATGACCCATCACTTCTTGCAGCAGGCAAACCTCTGATAATAGCCTAGAAGATGATCCCAAATACCTGTGACCTGGGATATAGCTAACTACCCCTTCTGTGCTAATGCAGTATGGAACTGCTGACCTTAGGATGAGAAGATATGCAAGTGGGCCTAGCATAAATCATAGGAGCCCCCATAAAAGCAGACAGTTTTCTGCAATTAGTGACAGAGGAGAGTCAGAGAAATGGGGGAATGAAGGACTGGGGTAAAGACCAGAGAGAGTTCTGCAGGAGCTGAGAGCAGTCCTGGCCAGCAGTCAGCAAGGACCCAGGCCCCCAATCCTGCCACTGCAGTAACTGAACTCGCCAACCTGAATGAGTCTGTAAGCAGGTTTTTCCTCAGAGCTTCTGGAAAAGGCCCAGCCCCGACACCTTGACATTGACCTTGTGAGACCCTGTCACAGGACCCAGTGGAGCCCACCTGGACTTCCCACCTATAGAACTGGGAACTAATAAATGGTGTTGTCTTACACACTGAGTTATGGTAGCCCACCTCCTTTACTGCCCACATTCTTCAGTCCTATGGAGAGAAAAGGAGGCATGAAGCCCAGACTTGACAGACATAGGAGGTCCACAGCCATGTTAAACAGCATTCAGAGTCATGTACTGCCCTCAGAACATCCTGCTGGGCCTGGCCTGCCTGTGTGAGCTCACATGCAATGGACAGGACCCTGGTACCCACCTGGATCTTGTCACACCATCCAGCAAAGTAGCGGAAGGTCTGGATGGACATGCCCACATGGGTCTTCAGGGCCAGTGTGTAGACAGCACCTGCATCTAGAGCCTCAATGGTGGCCAGCTCTTCCTGATGCTCTTCCATGAGGTCTGCCAACCTGGCAAAGGCATGGAGGAAGAAAGGAAGATGGGCCCAGGCCTGGCTTGCTTTTTCAAGGTCCTTCTTCAAGGAGTCAGGAGCCCTGTGCTGCACACTCAGATGTGCTGACCTCAGTTTCCTTATCTATGAGATGGAACAGTAACATTTAGTTCACTGGACAAGTAAGAATGATGCCCTCTGTTCTACTCTCCATCCCTCTCTCCCTTTTTGCCTTTCCCAAATACTGAGTAGTTGACTGCTTTATAATAACCACCCCCACACATGATCCTGCAGAGAAAGCTGCCTGCCTCCAACAAAGAAGTCACCATCCCAGGAAGCCAACCTCTCTGTCTCCAGATGATCTCCACCAGGGGAAAGTCTATCCAGCTTCCAGCACCAGCTAATCCAATGAAAAATTCTCTCAAGACTGGTGTCTCCAGGGATGGAGAGAGAGTGATGACAGGAGAGATGTGAAAGGCAAATCTATACAATCCTCCTGGATCTGAGCACTGAGATGTCCAGTTGTTCTCCCATGATTCTGGTGGGCATGCTGCTGTGGGAAGCCTAGGAATTAGGATGGTGTCCTCCTTCCTGATGTGAGGGCCATACGGGCCCAGGGGGCAATGTGGACAGGGAAAGGTGGGGACCACAGATCTAGAGAAGCCCTCAATTTTGCACATGGGGAAGGTCGAGCCCAGAGACAAGTACGGGATCGAAGCCTATTGACCTGTTCCCACTCTGTTCCTTTCTGCCTACTGACCTGTTCCCACTCTGTTCCTTTCTACCTACAGCCACTGGCAAGGTCCTAATATCCCGAGGTCTTTTTTACTCCTCCTGCCTCCATATCCAGTTCTCTCAATGGCTGCCCACAGCACTCAGGATGAAGCCTGACGCAGCCCTTACCCTGTGCCTGACTGACCAGCCCCAAGGACTTGCCTATTTCCTCTTAGGGCTATGGCGACCACTTGCCTGTAATATTTTGGAGCCATGTGGCATGCCAGAGACCCACACTGCTCTTCCTGTACTCCAGTTTTCCCCCCCAACCTTCTGCACCTATTTCAGACCCTCTAGAAAGCTGACCCATCCTGCCCATCCAAAGCAATCCTATCACCCTGCAGTGTTCTGATAGCATCCTTGCCTTTTTTCAAACCTCTCTTCCTGCTGGAAACATCACTCCACTTCCTTGGAGTGATTGCTTTACCCACACTGGGACCAACTGATTCTAGAGGAGCAACTCCTTTCTTCTGGGCCTCATATCCACCTTCTGGTCACAAGCTAGAGCAATACCAAATTCTTCTCTAAGACTTCTGATTGGAGTCAAGGAGCTAGAACCCCCTACACCTGACTTAAAAAAAAAAGGAAAATGTGATTATGAGCCCCATCCCTGCCTTTGCCAGCTCTCTGGGTCTTCCCAGAACCAGCTGGTAGCTTAACCAGTTTGTAGCTCCCATCTGAAGCACTCACTCATGTTTGTCCCTTCTTATATTTGCTCACACTGTCTCCCTCTATTCAGGACACCTTTCCCCTAAGGCCACTTGTGAAATCCCTCTTGCCTCCCAAGTCACTTCTTCTGAGTAGCTGTTTATGAGCATCAGGCCTCAGTGACCTGTCTAGGACCCAATCTCCTCTTGACAGGACAATAACACTCATCCTCACTCTGAGCTGAAGGTGGTGGTGGCTCACCTGTACAGGAGCCGGCCCCGGTCCCGTGCGCTGATCTTCCCCCATAATCCATTCTCAAAGGCATCTTTTGCAGCAGCCACTGCCTTATCAACATCGCTGATCTGGGCCAGGGACACCTGGCAGATAACCTGTGGTAGAGCAAAGCACTGAAGCCCTCCCTGAGACAGAGCACCTGCGTGCTCTCCCAGCCACCTGGTGTGCTCAGAGAAGAAAGTCTGCCAGAAGGGCACTGGGAGGAAGCAACAACAAGAGACAGATGGATCCTAGGAAAGTCTGTTTATGTTTCTACATAGCAAGTACCTTCCCTTCATTTTCCCACTGAGTCCACACAGGGCAACAGACTTGGGCTGAAGACTAAGTCTGCATTTTCAAACCAAAAGCATAGACCCACTAATTTAGTAAGTTTCAGCAGAAGTTTTATTTCTTAAGTGGAATAGCCTGGACACTGAAGACTAGACAAATCCCTTTTCTGCACTGCATACACTGAAGGTGTCCATATGCTCTACAGCATAGGCCTGGGCACAGGTGAGAGAGAAGGGTGAGAGGGGTGAGGTCAGAGCTTCCTTGCTGGTCACTACAGACAGCACATGCTGGGTAGAGCTGTCCATATAGCCTCCTTCTCAAGATCCTCCAAAATAGGTTTTGAGGTGGTAACAGTGCTCGATGTTCCTGCCCAAAGGCACTGCACCTCTTGTCTATGTCCCCACACCTTGTCCATCTCTTTGGGAAGAACTTTCTTTATACTCCCCTCAAATGAACCATTTTGAGCATGCTATCTTTTTTCTGCAGCAACTGAAGTGAGGCTGTAGGATGGAACAGAATAGTAAATGATCAGAATATACCTGGAAGAGCATATTCTATTGTTCCAGGTATGTATGTGTGTTAGAATGTATGTGTGCACGGGTTACAAAATAAAAGGGTCATAATCAAGAATCTTGACAAACACAGGATTCAAGGAAGAATCCCGATATTGGGGTACAAATATCTGAGAATGCAAGGCCCATGCTGGGATAATTGCTGAAGTGTGGAGGAGGAGGGAATGGTCTTCTTATCTTCCTCGGGGGTTTTAACTCTATTCCGTCTTTGGAGCAGGCTCAACGCCCTTTAAAGTCCTCTGGCCCCAACCCTCGCCAACCTCTCCACATCATATCTCTCACTATGCCATGCCTGTAAGGAGATTTGGAGGCTGACTGCAATTCTTTTGTGTCCAAGCTGAAATTCCCTGAGACAGGAACCCCAGAGGTCACATAGGAGAGTAAATGGGAGAGCACACCATGAATGGGGGAGCAGTGGCAGGGAGGAAAGAAGGGGGTGCTAGACCTGCACTCACACTTCCATCTGTTGGGTTGATAGTCTCATAGGTCTTGGCATCCTCAGCATCCACAAACTTTCCCCCAATGAAAAGTTGATGGGGCATTTGGAGGACCAGCTTGTTCACTGCCTTTTCCACCTGGGAAGGAAGGTTTCACAGGTTTTAGCTGTAATGTGGATTCTTCAGAAATGGGCATCAGTGACTGGCACAAACCCACATGGAGACATAAGAAACACTTAAATGGACAGATAATCACTGACGTATGTGCGCGCACGCACACACACACATACCTGAGGAATCTATTATGTGGGAAGTCTGAGGATCTGAGTGGTAAGAAGAAATAAAGAGCATAGACTCTGAGGCCAAACTGCCTGGACTAAAGTCCCAGCCCTGCTAATTACCTGCTATGTGACGTCAGGCTGTTTGCTTGACCTTCACACATAGGAAGTAGGTGGACATGCTCTTGTAAGCCACCAGACATGACACCAGCCCCACCACTTACTTCTCTACAGATTTGCAACTCCATGCTGAGTAGAGAAGCCTCTGTGATGCCAATGTCTTCCTGAAACCTGTTCATCAATCATTTATCCACAAGCCCAAAGCCAAACTGAAGTCCATCCTGACAACCTGTACTTTCTTCATCAGCTTTTGTTTCAAACTACCAACCAAAGAAACTACCCCAAAGCTAATTACTATGGAAATTTGTAGCTTGCCAAGATAACCTGGGCATTATTTTCAAGAGTTTCCTTAAGAAACAGACTTTCAATTACTTCATCACTCTTCCATAACACAAGTTAAATGTATATGAACATTTGTTTTCCTTATTGGGAAAACATTCCAAATTCCTTTTCCTCTTTTTGTTCTTTCTTTTTTGGTCTATCATTTCAACAAAAATAATTTAATGCAGAGAATTGGTTACACAGGTGATGGAAGAGCTGAGAAGCTATGAGTCAACCCAGAGATCAGCAATAGCAGGAATCCACTGCCATCTTTTAATTATAGGGACAAGTGGAGGAGATGGTTATACCAGAACTAGGGGGCTAGGGCCACTGAGGGAAACCAGAGTCAAGGAAGGATAATCTGGGAAAGGATGGAGGCACAATGAAAATTAAGCTGAAAACCCCACAAAAGGTGAAAGAAGGGGAGAAGCATTCTTTAAAATTTTCCCCTGATTTCATGTCTTGGGACTCAGAACTTGTCCTATATACTGAGCCTTAGACAGAAATGTCTTCTGTTGAGTTTGCCCTACTGCCCTGGCATCTTCAAGCTATCCAGAGCTGCCAGAGAGAGCTTGGTGCACTGAAGGATGGGCCCTTAGGGGTTATGCCTTCCTATATATTCAGGTTTCCCCCATGTGTCATTTTGGATCCATAGCTATACATGCCTGAGGGGTCTACAGAGCCATGCCCATGTGGAGGAGCCCAGAACTCACGTAATCAATGATGCACTCGCTCTCTTTGTCATCCCCACGTAGCTTTCTCACTAACAATTGGATAAAGTCTTTGAAGGTTGTTGCCATGTAAACGTCTTCATTTTCTAATTCCACACCATCACACAACTCCTTCACTTCTTCCACCAGTCTGGAAAAAAGGGGATTTTAAAGAATAGGAGCATGGAAAGAGGGGTGGCAAACATGCATCATTCTAGCAGCAGAGGTGGTGGTGCCAAACACACTATCCAGACCTTCATCCCAGCACCCAAAGCTTGAGTATTAGTCTAGAATTGGGGTTAAGATCACAGTCTATGGACTCAAAAGGTCCTAGTTCCAAGTTCTGGCTCTACCACTTACTAACTTGTGACCTTGAGCAAGTGACAAACTCTTCTGTGTCTTAGTTTCTTCACCTGTAATATGGGAATAATAATAGCTGCACTACTATTTTGTGATGAGTAAATGATATAATCCAACTATTAATAATAATTAATAGAAGATTAATAATGATAATTTTCAAAAGATACTGTTAAACATGAAAAATAAGTCACAGATTGGGAGAAAATATTTTAAATCATATAGCTGATAAAGGACTTTCATTCAGAATATATAACAAACTTTCAAAACTCAACACTAAGAAAAATCAATCTAAGTAAAGTGGTCAAAAGATTGATCAGTTGTTTTACCAAAGAAGAAATGTGGATGACATATGAAAGGAAAAATGCTGAACATCATTAGTCATTAGGGAAATGCAAGTTAAAACTACAAGACATGGCTAGATATTCATTAGAATATCTAAAATTATAAAGCCTGACCATACCAATTACTGGTAAAGATGTAGAGCAATTGAACTCTTATAAATTGCTGGTAAGATTATAAAATGGTACTTTGTAAAGCAGTTTGTCAGTTTCTTAAAAATTAAACATATACTTCCCATTTTACTTTTAGGTATCTACCCAAGCAAAATAAAAGCCTCATGTAGACAGAAGATAACAGAGTAGGAAGCTCCAAAAATCCATCCCTCCACCTAAATAACTATTGAACTTGTAGGAATTGTTGAATCAAATGTTTTAGAAATCTGGAGTCAAGTGAAAATTTGCAGTATCCAGGGGAGAGTATGATGAGAAGCTGGCAAATGTCAGTAAATTTCAGTGAATTTCTGCCTTTCAGTGAGGTATTATTGGCTGTCATCTCTTATCTCTCTTCTTTGTGGCAGGAAGCCCTAGAGGCAACAGGCCACATTCCTGGTTACAGCTTGCTGAAGCCAGGGTGAGCAATAAAAACTGTGTCCTTTGTAACTCAGAATTATGTGTTCTGAGTGTTGATACTGAACACTGAGGTGCCAGCACAAAGTCTGGCAGCCATTGTTTCAATCTCTACAGGCTGAAGCAGCTTCCCTGGGATATAAAGAGGTTTGTTTGTCTTTTTTTCTCCTTTGGGAGCCAGTCATTTAAGAAAATCTTTGCTAGGTCACAGGCTGCCTGCAGAGATAACAGAATAGAAACTTTAATAACTGACTACACATAACAAGAAATACACACTTGGTTTTTTCTTAAAAAAAAAAAAAAAAAGTTTGGGAGAGTAATGAATGAATAGCTCCAGACCTCAAGACACTGGATTTTGCAGTCCCTAGGAAGTGAGAGAATTAGAGTTTCAGAAATATCACAATATAATAGTCAAAATGTTATTTCAAACCAAAAGAGCAAAAATATGAAAAGTATAATCCACTCACAGGAAAAAAGGGAATTCAAAAAAATAAATCCTGAGGAAGAACAGATATTGAAATCGTTAGTCAAAGATTTTAAATCAACTGTCTTAAATATGTTCAATGATTTTTTTAAAAACCATGAACAAGAACTAAAGAAAATAAGAAAAGTGATGTATAAAAATGACAATATTAATAAATAAATAGAAAATATTATAAGAATCCAAACAAATTCTCATGCTGACAAGTACAATACTTGAAATAAAAAGTCTCTAGAGGGGTTCTACAGCAGATTTAAGCTGGCAGAGAAAAAGAATCAGTCAATTTGAAATTACCTAGTATGAGGACCTGAAAGAAAAAAAGAGTGAATAAAAATAAATAGAGCCTGAGAAACCTGTGGTACATCATAAAATATATTAACATACTCATTATGGGAGTTCCAGAGGAGAAAAGACATAGAGAGGACTCCAAAAAAAAATCCTAAGGAATAATAATTAGAAAGTTCCTAAATCTGAGAAAACATGAATATACATGTCCAAAGAGCTCAGTGAAGCCCTGGCTAGTGTAGCTCAGTGGACTGACTGCTGGCCTGTGAACCAAAAGGTCACTGGTTGGATTCCCAATCAGGGTAAATGCCTGGGTTGCAGGCCAGGTCCCCATCAGGGGGTGGGCAAGAGGCAACCACATGTATGTTTCTTTCCTCTTTCTCCCTCCCTTCCCCTCTTTAAAAATAGATAAAAATAAAATCTTAAAAAAAAACATTAAAAAAAAGACAAAAAGCTCGATGAACTCCAAACAGGATAAACTCAAAAGAACCACAGTAAGACATATTACAGTCAACTCACTGAAATGCAAAGACAAAGAATAAACTGGGAAAGCATCAAGAAAGAAGTGACTCATCACATACAAAGGATCCTCAATAAGATTAGAAGCTGATTTCTCCTCAAATACCATGAAGAACAGAGGCAGTGGGATACAGAGTCCTGAAAAAAATTAATAATCAACCAAGAATTAATAAAGGAGACATTAAGACATTTCTAGGTAAATAAAAGCTGAGGGGGTTCATTACCTATAGATCTGTCCTACACTAAATATTAAAGGAAGCCTTTCAAGCTGAAATGAAGGTCACTAATGACTAACTCAAAGCCATAAAAAAATAAAAAGAAAACACTAGTTAAGGTATCTACATAGATAAATATGAAAGCCAGCAGTAATGTAATTTTGATATGGTACATAACTTCTCTCTTTTTCTTTTGTAATATAATAGGCAAATGCATGAAACAATACATTAAACTCTACATTAATGGCTATACAATGCATAAAGATGTAATCTGTGACAATAACAATATAAAGGGTTTCCCCCTTTATATAAGAGAGAGATATATAAGACTAGAGCGTTTGTGCACTATTGGAACTAAGTTGGCATTATTTTAACTAGTTATTGTAGTGTTAAGATGTTAATTATAATCTCCAAGTCAATAACTAAAAATAAGGGAATCAAAATTATACACTCCAAAAAAAAGTCAGTAATGGAAAAACTGAGGAATATATAAGACATACAAAAACCAAATTAATAAATGCCACAAGTAAATCCTTCTTTATCAGCAGTCTGGATAAATGAAATGGAAAAGTGAATAAAAAAACAGCATCCAACCATATGCTACAAAGGATTCACTTTAGATGTAATTACATAAAAAGTTTGAAAGTACAAAAATGGAAAAGATACTCCATGCAAATAGTAACCAAAAAAAGAGTTGGGGTGGCTACATTTTGGCAGACAAAATAGACTTTCAATTGAAAAAGTCTAAAAGAGACAAAGAATATTGATTAAAAAAAACCTGATACAACAAGAGAATATAACAATTATAAACATATATACACCTAAAAACACAGCTCCATAATAAAAAACAAAAATTGGCAGAATTGAAGAGAAATATACATTTTACAATAATAGAATTGTAAATGCCCAACTTTCAATAATAAATAGAAAACCATAGAGAAGATAGAGGGAAGAGAGGACTTAAAAAAATACTGTAAACCAGGGGCGAGTGAGGTATAAGGAGACTAAATGGTAATAGAAAAAAAATAAACCAGAAAAACACTATAAACCAAATGTATATATACAGAGCACTCCACCCAAGAAGAGCAGAATTCACATTCTTCTCAAGTCCACATAGTATATTCTCCAGGATAAGTCATTTGAAAACCACACAAGTTTTAATAAGTTTTAAAACACTAAAATCTTATAAAATATCTTTTGTACCAAAATGCAATAAATCTAGAATCAATAGCAGAACAAAAACTGAAGAAATCACAAATATGCGGAAATTAAATAGCATATTCTTTTTAAATTGTTAAATTTTTTCCAGTTTTATTGAAAAATATTTAATATACATAACTGTATAAGTTTAAGGTATAGGGCATGATGCTTGATTTACATATATTGTAAAATGATTACTATGATAGCTTTAGTTAACATCCATTGCCTCATTTAGATACAATAAAAAGAAAATTTTTAATCTACTCTTAACAACTTTCATATATATAATGCAGCAACATTATCTATAGTGATCATCTTGTACATTTCATTCCTACTACTTATGTAACTGGAAGTTTGTACCTGCTTACCTCCAAAACCCCAACCTCCTCACCCCCACACCTCTGCTAACTAAAAATCTGACCTCTTTTTCTATGAATTAGGAGGCGTTTTGCTCTTCTTGGGTTTTTTTTTTTTTTAAAGACTCCATGTATGAGATCATACAATAACACTTTCTTAAACAACCAATGGGTGAAAGAAATCACAAAGGAAACTATAAAATACCATCAAAGGAAAAGAAAAACACAACATACCAAAACTTATGGATCACAACAAAGTAGTGCTAAGAGGGAATTTTTTAACTGTAAAAGCATACATTAAGAAAGAAGGATGTCAAGTCAATATCTTTTTTTTTCTTTTTTTTTATTAATTTATTTACTTTTTAAATACATTTGTCTCCGCCTTCCCCCCCCCGTCTTTCCCTTGCCCCCTCCCACCTTCCCTCCCTCAGCTCTTCCCCTTTGGTTTTGTCCATGAGTCCTTGCTATATGTTCCTTGACTTTCCCCTTCCCTTCCCTTTCTAGCCCTGGCTGGCATGGCTCAGTGGATCAAGTCAATATCTTAACTGTATACCATGTAATTAGAAAAAGAAAAGCAACCTAAAGCTAAAGCTAGCAGAGAAAAGGAAATAATAAATATTAGAGCAGAAACAAATGAAAAAGATGTGTGATATTCTTTTTTGTAGTGTTTTTGTCTGGTTTTGGTATCAGAGTAATGGATGTAAACCTTGTAGAATAAATTTGGAAGCATTCTCTTCAATTTTTCTGGCATAATTTGAGAAGAATAGATATTAATTCTTCCTTAAATGTTTAATAGCATTCACATGTGAAGTGACCTGGTCCTGGACTTT